TTTGAAAGCATTCTTACTTTACAGCATTTTTTCACACCTGCCTAAGACTTTTGCACAGTACTGTATATATATATTTAGATATCAGACTTTGAAGAAGCAGGATAGAAAGCGTATTGAGGCTTTTGAACTTTGTGTTGGAGAAGACTCCTGAGGATATCATGATAGACAAGAAAACAAACAAATGAATCATTGAACAAATCAACCCAGAGTTCTCATTATGCAAAGACCTAGCTCTCTGGAAAAGGCTCTAATGTTGAGAAAGATGGAAGGAAAGAGAAGAAGAGGAAGACCAGCAGCAAGAGGATGGACCCAATTACAGCAGTGATAGGTGTACTGTTGGAAGAACTGAAGGGCCATTGGGAACAGATACTCCTGGAAAAAATTCTATCTATGTGGTCACTAAGAGTTGACACCAACATGATGGCTGTCTGTCTGTGTCTGAATATTGTGGGACTGTCTGTCTTCAATCATTTCTGCCTGTTCAGTATGATCTGAAAGTTGGCATGCTCTGGGTCCTACCACTTAGGCAATGTCATGAGATGTGCTTTCTCTGTTACTAGTCCACCCTTTGGAACAGCATTGTCCCTGAGATCTGGCTGGCCCCAATCCTGCCTACCTTTCAGAATGCATTAAAACCTGGTTCTTTCCCCAGACATTGAGTCTGGGCATGGTATGATCCATTGGATTGTTTTTCTTGGCACTTTACGTGTATATGTTTCAGTTTGGGTTTATGTTTTTCTATTATGTGGTTGTTATGAAATTGACTGCTGTTTGATGATGGAGGCCATCCTGAGCCATGTACTGACTGGATTGCTATAAAAAATTATATAAATGATCCACAAATTGAGACTGGGTTGTCAGCAGAAGGCTTTCAAATCTACCTTTCTTTTCAAATGGAAATGCTTTGGTAAGAAAGTGGTCTGACTGCAGTGCAACCAGTTCTAGAAAGGGCTATTCTCCCAATAAAAAACCCCAAGTCCTTACTTTGGAGTTTTCCTACATTGAGCTTTGTCACTGAAAGGAAAGGTTATGGTAGTAGCAGGCATGCCCTTTACCAATTTTCCCTAATCTGCCTGCCACTCTGAGTCATGCATGCATTAGTTGCATCCAGTCTAGATTACTGTAATAACCTCTATGTGGTCTTGCCTTCTGGACAATTTAGAAACTGTAGCTGGTACAGGACATAGCTATACACATGTTTGATTAGAACCAGCCAATCAGAACATCCTACATCAGCTCTACTGTACTGCTTCTGAATCCACTGCAGGTAGGCTTCGGGATTCAAAATAATAGTGGTCATATTATCAGAAAGTCTACATTTGCATGAGTTTGTCCATGCTTTAAGTCAGGAGGCACAACTATTGGTCTACATTAAAAATCACACAGAGTGGTGATAGTTAAAGGCAGGTATTTCCTTCTTAGTAATAATCTCTATGTCATTGGGCTCATTTCTATCAATAGCTAAACTGCAGGCTTTAGAAAAGCTTTTTTTTAAAAAAGTGATCTACTTTAAATTGGGTTTAATTGATGAGTTTTATTAATTATGCTGCTGTTTTATTGATGGATTATTGCTGAGGCTTTGATTTATAGCTGAGACCTGTTTATATTGGACAAATTACATTTTAATGTTGGTGTAAGGAATAGCTATATTTTTTAATTGTAATTTTGTTATAATGTGAATTCTGTTGCTTTTTGTCTTTTTCATAGCTTGGGGAGAGCTGGTCCAAAAGGACCTTTTATAAATATTTAAATAAATGAATGGCTATGCTTCTTGAAAAAATGGTAAAATTAAAATCAGGCAACTGAAAATATGCACTCTAAAGGAGGATTGTTTAATGTGCCGGAAGGAGGACTACACATTTGTGATATCTTGTTTTTGGTTAAATGCATTTTTATCAAATCACTTTTCACTACAGAAGGTCTTGCCAAGAAAAAAAGAAAAAATTGTTCAAATGTCCATTCTTTCCCTTTTGTATTTTTTAAAAAGTGCTATTTTATTATTTCTAAATAATATTCCGTCCACAATTCTACTGAAAAGTAAGGACTTTCTACATAGTCCAATTAAATTAGAACAATTTTATTAAAGGATTTAAATCTCCTTCAGGTCCTATTACACTGTTTTGGTTAAGCAACTGGTGAGTGCAGATTGAAGTTACAATCCTGACACATGCAGTATAAGCAGAGAAAAATCAGTATTTGTTATTCTCATATAAGTCTAAGAGCAGCTATGCCAAATTTGGGACCCTCCAGGTATGTGGATGGGAATTTTGGGTGTTGCAGTTCCAGTGCCTCTGGAGGATGCCTCATGGTGCCTTAGAAGGCATAGCAGTAATGATGTTCAACAAGAATGTCTATTTCACTTTCAAAGACAAATATAAATGTAACTGGGAACTTTTGAGTTCACCCTATGCCATCTAATGGCTAAAATATACTGTATACCAGCATTACCCACCCAGTGCCCAAACTATCACTGCAATTAGCTATGTGAAAAAAAGACTTCCATAAACAGATAGGTTATTTGAGTGTCATTTGATTCTATTATGTCACATATCTGGTCAAACATTACTCTGAATCTGAAAGAAGTTCTGAAGATAATGGTTTACCATTCTCAGCATGGCTGCATTCACATATGACTCTAAACCTAGAATTGTTAGCCATGGGATGTTGGCCTGATTTGGGGTTAATGTTTAAATTAAACATCTAATTTAAAAGAAATATGGCATAACACCACATATGAATCCAGCCAAAGGCTGTGAAATAATTCAGGTAAAAACTAGAGCTGGTGAATTGTGGGTTTTAGTAGCTTTCATGGATAGTTAAAATGATTTCAACACATTCTGAATCATTGCTGTTCAGTTTAAAGAGATTAGCCTTGGAAGCCATTTGGTGAAATATGTGAAGCTTCCTAGCCTGATGGACTTATTATATAGGTGGGGAAAATGAGTGCTGGACAGATCTGAGTGACTGCAAACAAACTACAGACTTCAAAAGATAAGCTGGCATTCTCTCTAGGCACATGATACCACTTGAAACCTCTGTAACCACTTGGGATAGTACAAAGTGTAGCATCACTTTGTTCCAGAGGGACATCACTGGAGACTGAAGAGTTCCATCCACAAGGCACAAGTGCAGTGTGAAAGAAAACAGTGTAAACTAATTCCAATCTACTTTACTGAAATCTTTTTGAGGGACTGACATTCCCCCAAAATATACTACAACAGCTACAGTATCTTCAGCTGGACTCCTGAAGTACATGGATACATGGACCTGCCTTTAAAAATGGCCTAGAAAGTTTAATTGGTTTAAATGTTACCTGGGACTGGAAGATTAGTATAAATAAATGCCATTTTATTTATTTTATTTATTTATATATCAACTTTGTCACCATTGCTTCAATATCATCAGTGATTCCCAGTTCTTTATTGGACTCAAGTCAAAATAACTGGCTTTGATCTTTAGGCCTGTGCTCGTATGTAACCAAATGTGGAATGCAATTTTAAAGAAGTTCCATTGACTTGAATTTTGAAATCAGATATGTATCTTTTTATTTCCACAAGTCTAGCTTGTTTTAACCGTTAAAAATCTGCTGTAATCCATCAAGTCTGTTCAGCCTATTTTTTAATTTTCTGCTGTTTAAATGTTATGCTGCTTCATATTTCATTGTTTTGCTATTACTATTATATTTTTAAAATGTATTTTATTTCAGTGTTATAAGTGGTCAAACAACTTTTTTATTTATTAATGGAGAGCTAATTAATGATGTAAGAAAATAAAATGTAGCAAATCATAAATGGTAATAAAAATGAGTATATTATTATTTTACAGCAAAGGGTGTTGTGAATAATAAGGTGTGCAGAGGTTTGAACTGAACTGTCACTTGAATTGAATTATTATCACTTCTACAATCAACCACATTTACTTAGATTTCAACATAATCTGTACTCAAAAAAACTTGACACTGCGGAAAATTATCATGAGATAAATGAACATAAGTAGACTTCATGCTTATACTTTTTTTCCCTATCAAATACTTCCCCTACAGTCAGAGAAGAAAAGAATATGAAAATCAAAACTGAATATGGAAATTGAAGGATTTCCTGTTTTTGGCATCTTTCTTACAATTTCTACAAGGTTCAAGATGGAATATAAAATAATCTATAATTCTTGTGCACATGAATAAGAACTTTGTGGCAAATCACTTACTGCATTACTGTAATTTCTTAAGGGAAAAAAACCTGAAGCATTTTATAAGATACTCTGAAGACATCTTGAGTATATGTAATGTCTGTAGAAGGTAATCTAAACTTCATTGAAATCAATGGATTAATTATCATAAGAACTAAAGTTGAAGGTGTTATTTTAATTTTATTTTAAACTTATTTTAAATCATTTCTCTTTTTTTAAAATCTAAAATCAAGAGTCTAATTGGATTGAGGCAGTGTATAAATTTCCTAAATAAATAAATAAAATTCATATATATAATCTACCTAAAAGAGACAAGTTTCTTAACTTTCATGACTGCAAATTAACTGGATATAAGTGTAATAAAATCACATCAGAAACCACTTCGTGAGCAGATTGTGATTCCTTACAAATCTGATATGCATACTTCCAAAGTATTCAATGCTTATATTTCCCCAAATTCAGATTATGAGTTACCATGGATACAGGGACTTCCCTTGGCTTCGTAAACTGTTCAGGAAGGAGGTTCCATACATTACTCAATGCATGTATTCTTGACTGACAGCCCCTTCCCCCATGTTCAGAGTTAATTAGCATACTACTGAATGACTGGGAAGCAGGATTTGGCTAAACCTAATAAATAAATACCTAAATAAATAAATAGTATTAAAATATAATTAGACTGGCTCATTCTTGTTATACCCTAAAGAAACCACAGCACTAAAAGGATGTATTGGGGAAAGTGTAGTTGAAATAAAATCTAGAAGCTTTCAATCTCTTTCTCACACGTATGAAAGAACAGGGAAACGCTTCAGCTTGTGGGCATGATTTCCTATTATTTATGAAGCTGGTAACTTGTCTTTTGCTACCCAAAAAGAAGAGCAGCAGAACAAACAGCATAATGAGAAGAGTAAAAATAAAATAAAATAAAATAAAATAAAATAAAATAAAATAAAATGAAATTCTTCCTTGTACACATTTCGTTAAGCAAATCAATTCCTGCAGCTGCTGCCCATTTAATTTGATAAGACCAGATCATAAAAGAGGAATTTAAAAAGCATTTATGGCCAGGGATGACCTTCTTTTGTGCAAAATTCTCAGAATTCAGCTGTCGATCAATACTGTGAGTCTTTCATGGCTTCCTATTTTGAAAAGTTTCCCCCTTTTTATTGAATTCTACAATTCAATTAACAATATGTTTTTTATGAACTGAATTTTGAGGCAGCCTCCCTCCCTCCCTCCCTCCCTCCCTTTTATTGACCTTGAACTGTATAGGACAGTCAAAAAAATTATTTGGGGAAAAGACAAGGGATCTATTTTTCCAACAAAAACAAAAGCTGTAACTGGCAGTCAGGAAAAAAATATGGATATAAAGGCAAAATAAAACTTGTGATTGGAATAATAAGGGAGATAGTAATGCTTTATTAATATTTATTAGTTTTCTATTGATTAATGTTTATTAGATAAAATTTATTTGCTCATTTCAACTAAGAGGTCTTTTTGATTTGTAGAGCATTTTACAGAGCTAGAAAAGAACTAGTTTTCTGCATCAAATTATGCTTGATCATAGTTTGTATATAATCACAATCAAGCTATGATTGTAAATTAGAAGTTAATTAGATGCTCATTGATGCACTAAGATATATTTCACAATTAATATAATTGTATGGCATACAGCTCTTCAAAGTCCGATTTCTGGTATAAACAGGATGGAGAAACACAAACACAGAGAAAATCTATGATTTAATATTTCAGAATTTCTTGATGGATGATGTATATTATTGTATGCACCCTTTTATTTCAGTGCAAATTCCCTGTGCTCCACTGAGTTTTAGCCTGGCTACTCTATATGTTGGCATTGTCCTTGTATTTTAAGTCAGCATTACTCCTGTAGATTTATTTCCACATTAGGGAAAAAACAAAACTTTATAGCACTGATCCATTTGGAAAGATATAATTGTCATGTCACTATTCTATATTTTGTCAATCATTTTCCAAGTACAATTTATAATGTTTAAACTGGGCTTTGCTATCTGAGCACTCTTATTTATGCACCTGCCTAAATATTAAGTCCTGAGGACAAGGACTTTTTAAAAATGCCCTCTCCTTTTAAAAGGCCTGCTTGTCAAGCATGCGAAAGATAGTTTTCTTCAGTGAGAGCCCCAAACAATGAAACTCACTCTTTGGAATTTTCATTTGGTCTGCAAATCTTTTCAACCAGGCATTTTGAACCTTTTAAAGGCGTTATTGAATCTGGGCTGTATATTTTATGTTCATTAGTATCTATTAGTGTATTGAGATTGCATATAAGAGGGAGAGACGTAAGCTGCATTGATCATCTCGTTTAGAGAGAAAGGCAAGAACGAAAGCATCAACAAATAATTTCTTCATATAACTAAGCTATATATTTGTGGCCAATGACTCATTAAAAACAATCCTGCAATTTTTCTGTTCGTGCTAGTTCTGTACAACTAGAGTTGCTTATTGACATGAAAAGGAGAAGTCAAATCAAGCTTACCTTTCCACTGGTTGTCCTGCAGGTATGTGTTCCACTTCAAATCCTGCTTGCCTCAGCACATCAATAACAGTGTTGTTGCCCAGGAAATGACCTAATCGATGAATAATAACAACAGGAAGCCATTTGAAAAGATGATGAAGCATATACTCAATTATGCTATAATTTGAAATCTGCCCCTCTTTTCTAAAATAAAGATTTCATTTATTGTTGGATTATAGACAAAGATATCCCAAAGGATTTGGGTGAATAATGAAGTAAATATATATTAATCAAACAACAAAGCTGCATTCTGATTCTCCTATCTACTTTACTGTTCTCTATCTCATTGCCCTGGGCTTGGAATCATTAGACCGTGCTCAGTATTTCTACAGTTCATATATTGAAAAGTTCTTGATGTAGAGCATTCCTATTGCGACTTGCAAATATTTCTGTCTGTCAAAAATTAGGAAGGACAAGTTTCCAGATTACCTCACGTAGAGACATTTTGAAACGTATGGGCAATGTATTTTGGCATATACGTACAATGCTGAATCTTCACTTGTCTCAATGTAGCTAGGTACATGTAATGAAAATAAATGAAAATGAATGAAAATGAATTAGCTGCTCATATAGATACAGAGGTAGATTACCATGATGTTCATAGCTGTTTCTTCCTTTACATTTGCCTTATCTGGCCGGATTACCTTTTGGAATTTATTTCAATTTATTTTAATCAATGAGTTCATCACATTTTTTGATCAGACACTAGAACCCAACTATCTTACTCAAAAAGGTCTAAATATAGGATGGAAATCTAAATTCATTTCTCCCTTTGAGAAGCACAGATCCATCCGGTATAAGCAGCCAGGCCCTTTAACTTTCTCTAAAGTCTATCACCTTTTACTGACACAAGAAATCAAATATAGTGGATAGAAGGGTGTCTGTGTCTGTGTGTGTGTGTGTGTAATATTTATGTATATAAAGTTGTGTTGGATGATATATATTTGTATCAATTTTCTATCTATTAAGGAACCGTTTTGTTCCAAAGTCAGATTGAGCAAGCTCCAAGGTTTTCCCTAGAGAAAGAAACCCCTGTTTATCGGTACAGTGGACAATGGAAGCATTTTGCTCAATATGCTTGATCTAATATGTGATGATCATGGGTTGGGTGATATACAGTGCAATTACAAGCAAACCTCAAGAATGCTAATCTAGCTGTAAACACAGGCACTTAGCTTATGGAACTGCAAGGGAGAGCACATCACAATACAAGTGGATCACAATATTGTAAAGAAAACTACTTGAAACAACCTGCTTTTGTATGTGGATCATCTTTACTACCTCAGACTGAGAATGAAAATCACTGAATATTTAAGACTAGATTTTAGATTCCAAGCTTTTACATAATTTTGTGTGTTTTCATAAAGTACAAAGAACTCATAATATTTATTATCAGTTGTATGGGTGAGTTGAGTAGAGAAATTTTAATAGCATTTGCAGGAATCATTAGGCAGTTGCTGTTTAAAGGACACCTTTTAGACTACTTAAATATACCCTATAAACTGAAACTTAAAACCAAACAGAACACTCTCCAATTAAAGTTACATTTTCAGGTTCCAATTTGATCCAACGTTCCGCTTACTGACCGCTCACAGTCACTAGAGGACTGTTTGACTCTGGTTTGCTAACTTAGCTTATAAGTAAAGTGAAGATGATGATTATGATTGTGTATCATCGAGTCATTTTTGACTCTTAGTGACCACATAGATTTTCTCCATGATGATCTATCCCTAATCTGTTTTTTCAGGTCCCCAATGGTGCACTCATTGTCATTGGAACTGAGTTCATCTTCCTTGCTGCTGGTCATCCTCTTCTTCCTTTTCCTTCCACCTTTCCCAGCATTACAGCCTTTTCCAGAGAGCTAGGTCTTCGCATGTGTCCAAAGTAGGGTGAGCATTGCAAAAATGTGTTACATGACTTCAGAACTTTGAGTGCTAGGACACGAGTCATTAACCTGATTGTTTTATAAGCATCCAAGACTAAGTTTTTTTTTTTTTTTTTAAACAGAGCATGGACAAACAATGGGCTGGGGACCCTGCAACTTTAGAGTTATTGTCATTGTTGTCATTATTATTTAACCCTGTAACTTCAGATTTAAAAGTATTTTCTGAAAATATTAGCCTACGTTGGATTCAGCTCCAACATGACACTGTCAGTATGGCTTGCATAGAAATATTATTTAAGTGCTATAGTATCAAGATCAACTGAAATAGTTATCAGCACATTCACATTCTGTATATAAAATTACCTAAACCAACTTTTTAGGCTCCCCACACAATCTTCCTTATTTCTAAGGAGTTCTTTAAGAAAGCAACTTCTATACCTGGACTTAATGTCTATGGAAGCTAATTCATAAGGCTGAGTTTAAAGTCCACATCCAAGAAAGTGCATTTATTTTCTTATGAAGGCACTTATCAATTCATAAGAAACAGATCCATAAAAATATTAGGGATTATTTGCTCCTTGCCTTTTCTAGCAGTATGAAATCTGCATGAAAATCTGTATGAATCAGGAACCTAATAAGCAGTCTGTTATTTGCCTTTTGCCTTTAAAATTGCTGCTGAATGGAGAAAATTACTTCTTCCAACCCAGATTTTTAACTTCTGAAATAGATCATATTTCTGTTTTATATCTCTGTGTTACATCAATGGCCAAAAGTGGAAAAAGGGGAAAAGAGAAGATGGTTTAACATAACAACTCAATTTCAAAAGATGACTCTAAAATTGCATCTGCAATAAAAGAATGGAGCCCTATATATGATGAAAGCCAAACTACATGAGAGTCCAATTTTCTATCAGATCCAGATCCAAGCTCTCCAGGAGAGTGGTATAAAGATCTATTGATAATCTCAGCAATCACAAACAGAAACTGATGTAGTTTTTATTAAGGAGGCATTTTGAAAATTAACTTCAGCAGTATATTTATATGTTGGAAAGTGTCAATATATATTCTTGTTCTTGTCAGAGGTAGCTTCAAGCTAGTATTTTATCTGCTTTAACTGATCATATTCTCTCTTTGATATATTTCAGAAATTTTGGGGTACAATTGTCAGCCACAGGTATAGCCCCAAAGTAACTACAGATTGCTAATATACAAATCTAAATTACCTGTAACACGTGTAATTTAGTGGGGTGACTTGATAGGTTTATGTGCTGAATATAGTGTACTCAGACATCCATTTTAAAATGCGGTAACCCCATTTTACTGAATGTGTAGGTGTTCTTGCTTGCTTTGCTAAGTGAAGCTCTGCACATTTACTCCAAGTCCTGCCCTACAGTAGCAGCTAAGTACAACAACTAAAAAGAGCTGTGCTACACTAGATCATCCCACATTTTGTTTACCAATTACCAACATTATACCTAAGGGACACCCAAGAAGAAGACATGACTTTAACAGCACCTGCTTATCTAACACTGTGCATCCGACATTCACTCACTCACTCACTCACTCACTCACTCACTCACTCACTCGTTGTGTAAGTCTCAAGTATGATTTCCAGCATCATATCATTTGTCAATTTCTAATCCAACCTGAATTACTTTCATAATGTGGAATCAGTTACTACTTCCCAAACTGGGCACAAGGATGCAGTAGACATTAGTAAGAAAGAAACCACTACAATCAAGTCAAAAGAGATTAACATTCCACAACAGATCAGGTCCAGTACAACAATACAAATGTTCTTTAGTTTGGTACAATAGTTGAAAAGAATAGAACGACTCTGGAAAATAATTTAATAAACCAGAGTTTTTCATTCACAAGGGTGCCATTCAGGTGATATATTCATTTTACCACATGGCAGTCCCTCCCCTCTGAACAACTCTACAGTGCTGTTGATTGTGCACAGTGAGCACTCCAGATGAATGTATTTATCTGAGATCATATAAACGTGTCTGTGGTAGAGGCAAGAAGGATGCTTTTAAAAAACATTTCATATTTTATCTGACGCTGGAGATTCTCTCCAAATGTCTTTGCTTGCTTGCTACACATTCACAGCCACAGGGAATTAAAGAGTAAAGTTATTCAAAAGAGGAACAGATAATTCATTTACAAAAGGCCTCCATCAACAATGTCTTTGAAGCTCTATAAAAGGGACAGAGAGAGAGAGAGAGAGAGAGAGAGAGAGAGAGAGAGAGAGAGAGAGAGAGAGAGAGAGAGAGAGAGAGAGAGAGAGAGAGAGAGAGAGAGAGAGAGAGAGAGAGAGAGAGAGAGAGAGAGAGAGAGAGAGAGAGAGAGAGAGAGAGAGAGAGAGAGAGAGAGAGAGAGAGAGAGAGAGAGAGAGAGAGAGAGAGAGAGAGAGAGAGAGAGAGAGAGAGAGAGAGAGAGAGAGAGAGAGAGAGAGAGAGAGAGAGAGAGAGAGAGAGAGAGAGAGGGAGGGAGAGAGGAAGAGAGAGAGAGAGAGAGAGAGAGAGAGAGAGAGAGAGAGAGAGAGAGAGAGAAAGAACCTCTCAACCTTGCCAAGCTATTATCTGCACACAACTGAGGGCCAAACTGTTCCCATGCACACTCCTAGCGAAGCCATTTTCTGCAAAATTACTCAGTAAAGGACCCAAATAAACAGGGCCAATTGTTCTCCTCAAAACAAATCAGATGTTTTCAGCCTTTTAGTTTCTTTACTTTGCGGAGCAAATATTCTTGGTCCCTGTTGTCCTCAATCACCAGTTTCCAAAATTAGCCCAGCTACTTATTTACTGTGGACCAGCTTAAGCAACTGGAACAAAACAGAAACAGCAAGTTCCGTAGAAAATATTTATTGGCACCCTTGGTTCCTTCTTCAAGTTCTGCATTTTTAGAAAGGTCATATATAATTGGCTGAGATATTCACCTAACTGAAAGTTATCATACAGCATATTACTGTACATGCTCTAGGCTGCTTGTCAAGACATTTTGACATGTTCACCTTCATTAAGGCACTTGAATAGCTCAAGCCCAGCATTAAAGAAAAAAGAAAAAAAAAAGATATGAGTTACTTCTAGAAGAAGCCAATTCCTCTGCTCATTCACTTTGAGTTCAGGCCATATTGTCTTTTATTTGCAATTCTCCAGTGCTTAG